GCAGTCGGGGCTCGAGAGCCTCGTCGACTAAGGCCAGGACCCACGCTCGGCCAGGAATGCCATCGGGTCCCGGGGCGGTGTTTTTGGCTTTAAGCCGTAACACCGCCACCCTTAGTTCCACCCCAGTGACCTCAGGCACGTCGTCGTCATCCACGTTAGGCGCCTCAAGCGCCGGAGGCGGAGCCATCTGTGGCGGAGTATGCTCCACCACTCGCGTTGGGAACAGGGAGCCAACGACCCTCTCAAGCAGCTCTGGCTGAAGACACCGTGTGAGCGGCGGGGCCCATGGGCGCATCTTGCCCCTAACCATACGGTAGGGGCGTCCCCACGGATCCCGCTCCAGTGTCTCCAGCATCTCGCGGCGGGCCTCGCTCTTGGCCCGCTTTATCGCTGCCTGAAGGGTCCTCTTGGCAACCCTGTAACCCGCTAACAGCTCCGCCTCTCTCGCTGCCGCATCTTCGGGGCGGCGACGCCTCCTGCGGAACCTGGACCACTGGCGGCGCGCGGTCACGCAGGCTTGACGCAGCCGTGCGATCTCCGGCGACCACCAGTAGACCTGGCGCCTTGCAGTATTGGGCTGAGCCCTAGGCATCGCCGCATCGCAGACGCGGGTCATGGCCTCCCGGAACCACTGTGCTTCAGCATCGACGTCGACAGGCCTGTCCGGCGCAGGAGCCCAGGCCTGTACGATGGCGGCTTCCAGGAGGATGTGAACGTGTACCTGAACGTCAATGTGTCAATTTTGTTAATATTAAAGAGTAGAGTCTTCTGTGTCACTCACACATTTTTTAATCCAAATTTTTCACTTTAAACACTTTTTAAACATTTTCTCTCAAAACAGACTTTTTCATTTTTTTACATTGGGCGATCGGGGTTTTTATTTAGGTATAAATGATTTTTCTATTAAACACTTTGTCGACATACAGAACAGAAAATTCTATAAATTTCTTTGTCATATAAATCTGTATAAACTTTTTAAACTTACAAATAATTACTTAACTTGCACTAAACGTTATCTGAATCGACTGAGTAGTTCGACAAACATCGTTAAAATAACATTTATAGACTATTTTTTTTTATAAAGATGTATTTTTTTAGCGCGTTTGCGTATTTTACATGTTGTTCGTAAATGTATCTTGAGATATACCTGGTGTAACTAAAAATTGGTCAGAGGAGCCCATTGAGTTAAAACAACACTAGAGAAGCAAACCTCATTATCACACGTCGAAAAAAGTGTAACCACTTTTGAACTTTGACGACGTAGCTTTGATACCACTAAACATTTGAAAGTAAACATATTTATGTCTCATTTACACGCGAGACAAGAACAATACCATCGCTCGGATTAGACAAAGACAAAGACATAACTTTACGATGGTGGGCCAGTGTTGACTACCGTATGAAATTTTACCCATAACAACCAAGAAACAATTTTTTTTTTTAAACAATTTTGTAATAAAATAAATTAATTTAAATATTTTAAATAATATATATCGAATTGAATGGAATAGGTATAAATAATAAAATAACTGGAAATATTTGGTTAAAAGGGTTTATATTCAGTGTAAAATCAAACTCCGCTATGAAGCATCAGTTTTATATACAATTGTCTTTTAGACTCTTATAAGTTCGTGTGGATATTTTACTTTCATGATACAATCTTATTTTTACCTATGTATAAATAATGGCATTTAATAATAAAAGTGAATGATCAACTTGTACTGATAATAAATAATCCCCAGGGTGTATTGCAAATTCTTTTAATATTTTAAAATACAAATAAAAAATATAGATATATAAATATATATATAAATATTTTTATTTTTTATTTTTTTTTATTTATATTTATTTACTTTTTTATTTTATATATATTTTTTTGTACAATTATTATTTATAATTGATAATTAATTAAGAAAAATGAATGAATGAATGAATTAATTCTTTTGTACAAAAGTCTCCAGCACTGCGAGCTTGGCAGAAGGTGAACGTTCAACGGGTCCCTAAAAAAAGTGATCGGTCCAGCCCTAACAACTACCGTTCTTCCTATATTTTATTATTATTGGCAAAATGTTTAAAAACAGTCTAAAGCATATTATTTCATAAATTATAAATTCTCCCACTAATGTGGGAAAACCTAAATGTTTTTTTAATGGTAACACTGATTCTAAATTACAATTATCAATGTTTTATTTCAATTATAGCCTTATTTACGATATTATCAACACAAAAACCATAAACTTACACGTGATGAGTAATTCCGCATGATTTATTATAGTTTTGTGACCTTGAATCGCATTCTTTCACTACGCATTTACCCATTTTGGCGATTGTTACTGTCATGTGTCGCTATGTTCAACTCGGTTGACGCCATATTGAACACTGAATTGACGTTTGCTACGCATATGCCTGTGGACAGATGTGCAGTAGCAACGACTTTAGGCGGTAATTACTCATCTATGTAAGTATTATATCAATGGAGGAGCCATACAAAGAGGAATAAATTTCACATTTAATTTAAATTGACTAGACTTAATTAAAATGCAAATATCAAAATGCAAACATGGTACACAGTCTAAAGTGTTCTTAAGTAAATTACGATTTAATTACACTAATTGTAAATATTGCCCAATAAATCAATTACGGCCGCTAATTTCTAAACTCATTAACTGCATGACTGCGGTTTGTGGTGCGAGTGCAGATAGGAGAAGGCGACATCATCCTTCAACTAAGAAACTAAATGTAAGTAAATATTTTCAAAAGTTATTATCCTGAAACTAAACCATCTAGACACACTCAATCACACAGAAAAATGTTTTGGTTCAATTTGAAATAAAATTCCTAGAACACGCATACAGTGCCACCTACAGGTACAGTTGCAAAGAAAACACATTTTATATGAAGTGGAGTGACTACCATACATTTACCTTTGCTGGTTGTCTACACTATATACCTACCTACACACGGATAAGGTGATACGGTAAGGTGAGTATATATCAAGTGTCTTCTTATGTTCTATTTACTAGCGTCAACATTTTGTGGCAAGCACAGATGGGTAGATTTCATTATTTCACTTAATATGTTGTTTGACGCAATACCAAGTATTTTTTCAGATTTAATTTCTTATAAAATAAAAATATTAATGAAATTTTAATGCGTTTTGAGATAGCACTCGGAGAATTATTAGGTACAAAACGTTTTCTAGATCCAAGCTCTGCCTTAAGCATAGCTATAGCAATGCCCTTACAATCATGCTCCATTTCAGATCTTAATTTTTTAATTTATTATCTGTGTTGTTCAAAACAAAACGGGCATAAGCCTCTCGTTTCTTAGGAGAGGCTTATGTCCAGCAGTGGACTGTTAAAGGCTGTTGATGATGATTATGATGATGTTCAAAACAGGGTGTGTTCTAATACGTAACTGTAACCAACGGGTTTTCAAAACACGTTAGTTACAGTTAACCAATTTAGTATCTGCAATAATAAATCAAAACTAAAATACCCGTTACACAAAGATTCGTTCTTATTTATAATGCGATTTGACGTTACCGTTGAATAGCTTATCAATTTTCCCCCTAAAGTCTATAATAAAAAAACTCTTACGATGTTGTTCTCTAATTCAGTTATGCTAATGCTTGTGAATGAATGAAATAATATGTGACTAGTAATTTTATCTTTAATAGCATCAGCGTAATGTAGTAAAAAATAAATTCATTTTAAGTGGTTGAAATTAACATAACTAACGGAACAAACTAGTTGTCTTTGTTTATAATGAACCAAAGATTGGCTGGAAAAGCCATACAATATTGACTATTGACTAGACTTAATTAAAATTAAATAAAAACATCAATAAATTTTCATCATCATGACGATGATAAAATCTGTGTGTATTTTCTTTTATTATGAAACATATGCAATTCTCATGTTTTGTATGTAATTGTTTTAAATTTAATTCATACACATTCAATTTATGATACCTTTTAGGCATCACTAGCACTGAACGAGTTCCAAATGAAGATTCGAATTGTACTGAAGGCCGGATATTTCTCAATGCATCTTATGTAAAACATTTATTTTGACGAATGTGTCAAGGGTTAACCGAAAAGTCACACAAGACCGCACCCCGAGGTGATCGAGTTTATATAACATAAATGAGGCGATAGCAATGCAAATGATTAAAAAACCGGTTCAATAATCCTGCTGGGATTTTTAAAATTGAAATTTTGCCATAATATTAATTTACCACAGAATCTCTCAGCTGATGCCTGCAGCTTTTGACGGATGCATGCAGTTTTAGATTAGATTACATCTATATAAATTTAAACGATAACACCTACATCAATATTTAAATTGTTTAATATAAAAGTTATATTATAGTTTTACAAGTTGTAAAAAAGTGTAATAGATCGTACGAAAACTTTTTTGTATTATTTAACTTATTAGATACACTTATTTGTTTATATTCGTGATACCTACTAAATAATTATTTTATAATAAAGACTAAATGCACTGATTAATTTGAATATAATCACTGTCCATAATTACTATATTATCGTTTGCTTTCATATTGAAAAACCAATACAACTGTTGAAATGCAATAAAAAAAAAAAATTGATTAAGTACCTACGTCATATTAAATTGTTAGGTCACAAAATAACTGTAGACTTCCTTTATTTAATCTCATTTTAATTGTGCGTCTGTACGAGTTTGTTTTTAATTAATAATTTTATTTTTTAATTAAATACAATTTTAATATAGGTAATGTAACACAACCGATTATTTTTTAAATAATGGTTTATCTATTATTATTTACACTATTTAATGGATTTTGTATTTTATGTAACTCAATCCTCTGATAGTTTTGAAGTAAATCGAAAATGTTTCACACTAATTAAGACATTTAAAGGAAATCTAAAACGATAGAAGGATGAAATCAAAAATTTATCTCAAGAAAATAAATCAAATTAACTAATTTTTTAAAATATTTTATATATCAAAACTTACCGGCCAAATCAATGCTCCAACACAAATATTCACTAAGACACTGGTATAACGCAATGTTAGATTGCAGTATCAAAGAGACACCAACGTGCGCAACTCAAGATCTACGGCACGAACTGTGAGGCGCGTGGGCAATTGAGCGGGTCACTTTTACACTAGTAATGTTCGCGCGCGCTTGATCCGCCCGTATATATCACAGAGCTATTTGACGTCACGCTACTGGCAAGATAAGGGCTTCGCACCATCAGTACCACTGCTAAATACGTGTTCTATCGATGTAGCACCGGCGATTATAATTTACTGCGACATCGATACGGTGCAGATAATTTGTTCAGGAGAATCAATGCATGGAACTAAATGTATCGTATGAAGAAAAATATTGGTGTATACCATACACCAAACACAATGTAAACAATATGTTTACTTAAATTTTTATCTTAGTTTACTATTTTGTGAAAAGAGGTGTCTCGTACGTGTCCTTGTTCACCTTTATCATTTTATTGACAATGACATTTTGTTTTTTTTTTTAATAGCTCTATAGTTTTGTTTGGTGTCCAGTTTTCAGTGTATCCTTTTTAAACGGACAGTATTCCTTGTTCTGCGCTAATGCTGTGCTTCATTTTGAATTTTCACCTACTAATTTTACCAGTGGTATTCTTTATGAAGCGAATTCCTGAATACGAGCTCTAATAACAGTGAAGGTTAGTAAGTTTAACTAAAAAAATCCATTCTTTAAAATTATCATCGTCATCACCTCAACAGCCTGTATTAGTCCACTGCTGATCATAGGCCTCTCCTTAGAAATGAGGTTTCCGCGTGGTGACGGATTAAGAATATACAGTGTCACCACCCCTATTCATCCCGTGGGTGTCGTAAGAGCCGACTAAAGAAGCAAACTACGCAGGACAACAGCACTGCAAAGAGAAGGAAAATTTGACACAAATCCTATGCCAACCCAGAGTGGTATAGTAGGTCAGAACCTCCTTTTAAATCATACACGTTGTCATTTAGCATAAATATACTTGTTTTCATCCATTAACATATGTTTGTTAAAAAAAACTTCTAAAATAAATATATAAAATACAAGAAACTAACCCGAATAGACAGATAAATAAAAATCTGTTTTAATTTGCATTTTAAAGAGTGCTTTAGTTTTTTCTTCCACATAAAACTCCTTATTTAAATACGAATAGCATACTCAAAAACTTGATGTAAAAAAATTCTCGAAAAATTTATCAAATCGCATCATGGAGATTGATACAATACAATCGTTATAATTGAAAACTGTTGTTATAACTTACGAAATCGTTTAAAATCATCATCTGGAGATAATCAGTTTCGACCACAACACAAAATGAACAACGAAATCACCGGTTACAAATTAATATGCTATTTAAAACTATATTTGCGGCAATGACAGCTTATCAGTTTATGCTAAATAAAAATCAGTTTTCCACAAAGCCTAAACTAAATTCTTTCTTCCATATAAATTACATAATTCAGATAACTTGATTGAAATTTTTCGTCCGACACGGTAACGAGTGTAACGTGTAACGTTAACGTGAACTTAAAAAAATCGTACTTCACAAGTAATTGCATGTGAAAAATAATGTAATAACGTAAAAGACGTTTTCGTTTTTAGTATTTTTTCCAAGTAATACGAAGAGGACGGAAAAATCTTTTTTTCCGTTTTGAAAACGTGTGGAGATTATATTGGCATCTTTAAGTGCGGTTTCCAATTATCTATGTGTGATGATACATTGTAGCAATGGCAAGTCATTCGACGTCAAATGCAATTAGAAACTTAATGGCAATACTAATCTAACGTCATACGTCATTTGGTCAAATTGTGATCAAATTCATGTAGGAGTCTACCTATAATATCATATTTTTAAGGGATCTTTGGTATTTTACAAGTAGGTATGAATCAAAGTTTTCTTGTAAGTATATTTTGTGATCGTCAAAGTCCATATAGATTCTATATTCTTTATTATAGAATAATGATGTTAATCATCCCATATAAAGTGATTTAATCCATACAAATAAATAAAATTGAAGTGTCTGTTTGTCAAAATTAAAGGTTTTTTCATGGTGTAAGCATGAAAAAACATATATTTTTTTGCACGATACCTATGCCTGAAAATCAGTTTAATTATTTTTGTCTGTCTGTCTGTTTGTTCCGGGTAATCATCTAAACGTCTGGACCGATTTCGATTATATTTAACTACCACGTAGCTGTCCACATAAGGAATAACTTATGCTATTTTTCCTCTCAGAAAACCCCTTTAAAATTTTGCACGGTCCGGGCATTGAACCCATTAAGGCAGCGCTTTTCGAATTCCACGCGAACGAAGTCGCGGGTACCAGCTAGTTCAAAATAAAAGGTAGTCAATTTCATCTATTTTAAAAATCGTTTAGCCTAAATAAATAGTATTTTCATTGAGTCACAATAGTTACATCACATTGCATTAAGTAGGTAATGATAAAAATAAGTAAACAACACTACTACTTTTATACCTTAAAATTAAAAATATATAAGGGATGGTAGGAGGTCGTTGATCCATCTAAAGTGTTATTTTGCAAGTCTCACTCCCAAGTTATCTCATTCTGCCATATCTATAAAATCTTCACGATGACTTTGATACTACTTTTAGCATTTAATTTACGTGAACAATGTTTTAGTTACAGTCCTTTTCGTTGCTCAAATCTGATTAACGAATTATTAGTTTAAAAAAAATCAAGGTTCTAAGATCCAATAATGAATCCTTAAAAGACCATTTTTTTGAGAAAAGTGTATTCCTGCAAAAAAGTTCATAAAATTATCTTAACGATAAGATGCATCTCTGTAACGTGGTACACCCCCCGTACCTACAACATTTCATGGATTGTGTCAGGAATAAACATGAAAGAGAAAAGTTAATCAACGAGTTTGACCTAGAATTGTCAATTTTGGTTCAAAGCAAGGTCTTATAGCACAAGTTAAGAGAAAATTTTGAGAAATAAAAAAAGTTGAAAATTAAGGTAAATTTTGGTACTTGCAAGTTTTCGCGAAAATCGAAATTTGCCCATATCTTTTTATAATTTTGACTTAGGAGTTGGATTTTTATACACCTAATAAAGACCATACCCCTCAGTATCTGGTATAAATTTCAACTTGCTAGGTCTATCCGTTCCTGAGAATATCGGTGGTGACACACGGTCAGACGGACAGACGGACAAGAAATTGCTCTTATAAGGGTTCCTTTTTTTACTTTTTGAGGTACAGAACCCTAAAAAGAAAAGAAGATGCATATTACCAACGCCCTAAAACTGTACAAAAATGTAGAAGCCAACAAACAAATAAACATTTAGTTTATTATTAAACAGAAAACTAATAACAATAGTTTATCTACTAATCAGTATGACACGATAAAGGCATGTCCATATTAGGACTTTATTATGCAGGAAACGTAAGTACAATCATCAAGAGAAGTCGATGAGCACAAATTGTTTTCAAAATTTACGTATTCTTATTATTTGCCATTAGATTAATTGAGTTAAATATTTTTTTTTCAAAATCAAACCATTCACATCACGTCAACAGCCTTTCACAGTCCACTGCTAGACATATGCCTCTCCTTGGAAAAGAGGTTTTGGCCTACTGTACTACGCTGGCCAGGACTGGTTGGTACAGAGTTTGTGTCAAGTTTTCTTTCTCTTTGCAATGCAGTTGTCCTGCATAGTTTGCTCCCTTAGTCGTGGTTTACGACACCTATGGGAAGAATTGCGGAGGTGACATTCCGTATTCTTAAACCGTCACAACACGGAAAATCAAACCATTAAAGTCGCTTGACTCACGTACCACTCACCTTTAATTGTATGACTACACAGATTGCGTAGTGGTTTAAGCGGTCACCTCGCCGCTTCCTACTGCCCTAAGTGTTGTGGGTTCGATCCCCATAAGGAGTTATTCCTTATCACTTCACATCAACAGCCTTTAATAGTCCACTGCTGAACATAGGCCTCTTCCTAGAAAGGAGGTTTATGGAATAACACTTTGGGTGATCCATAAATTGTAGTTCTAAATCTGAGTGTTCTTTGTGTACGTTTCATGTATGTTTGGAAAGTCCCACGCGACATGTGATATGTTTTTCGATATGCAGTCGCTGAACATGCCTCATTTAATTTATCTTGTTCCCTTTTTCTTCATCCTCTCGCAATAATCATGTTTAATTATTTACACATCACTTATGTTAATAAAATAAATAAAATATAAAAATTAATTATTTTAATAATACACATATTATCATAATTAAAACCTAAACATGCTTATTTTTATTCTCTTCAGTAACACTCAAAATAAAATATACATGTAGTTAAGTTAAAATAAAATATATATGTAGTTATGAACTTTAGGACAGTAATATCATTTCACAATTAATAGAAACATCGTACCACGAAACAGATTTAAAAACAATATAATTAAAAAACATGACATTTGTCTTTAAAAATCGCAGAATAACTAAGAATTATCAAAAAAAATTGGGTTTTGTAGGAGGTTTCAGGTGCGTCTCTTATAAGCTAGAGGGCTTCCATTTTACTTAGTATTGTAATATAACGATTTGGTTAGAATGGTACTTATAAAAAAGCAGAAGAGGCGTTTCCATTATTTATAATTTTCTGTATTTTTTTTTTGGTTTTACAGAAACAACTGCTTGTTGCTGACCGAGTGGCCCATCTAACATTACATTTTTGCGTGATTATTTCAGTTGTATTCAAGTAGCACGCTGCAGTATTTATTTACATTCAATTTTAAATAACCTATTCAAAAAAGTGTTTTGCCCGAACATACATAAAAAAAAATATAAACATCCAAATTGATAACCTCCTCCTTTTTGAAAAGCTAGCATTAAGGCCCTCTTGCAGCGCGGCGTGTAGGTGTGAAAACGTTACCTCACCCCCCCACTAACGTATCGTAAGCAAAAATGCAGTGTCAAAAAGCTGCGCGAGTCTGCTGCGCGCGACTCATTTCACGTCCAGATATTGTGCCACAGTGTAGCGTAGTACAGTAGGTAGGAAAGTATATCGTGTATGAGATATGTAATTCTAATATGCTTTTGCACTTTAAATTATTGTTATTCAGACTAATTTACCTGTGTGTTAGCGAAATTAAAAAAATACATGGCATTAAATGACCGTTTAAGATTTCGAACTAAGGTCTTTATGCTCCTAGGTTATTATTAGTATTGATAACGGTTCAGCATTTATTGCGAAAAGACTAGAACCTGCAAAACGCACACGTTCACACAGACTGAGTTCACAGTTTCATGGTCATCCTGTGTTATTTTTCGCGTGGGATTTTATTAATATCGTAGCGTGTACGATTCCTTATTTGAAATAAATTACCTCGTGACTGATCTGATCTTCTAGAATCCTAATAAAAGATAATCATTGAGGCGGAGGTTTTATTAAAAACGTTCTCACAATAGTTTTATAATGAGCTACCAGTGCATTGAATTTATGTCTAAGTTCAGTCAAGAGGCGCGTTACCATTTAGGAGAGGAGTCCTCCTTGCCGCGCGTCAGCGTTCACCTCTACTGTCTGCTGCGTTACCCCCTCTACCTAACCATATTCGATACGAGCCTAGCAATGCCGATTTGGACATTCGTTTAAGAAAAGAGCTTACTGAAGCTCTTGGCAATCCAACATCTTTAAGTAGGTTATTGTCCGTGTGGTGACATATTAAGAATACGGAGTATCACCACCCCTATTCATCCCGTGGGTATCGTAAGAACTGACTAAAGGAGCAAACTACGCAGGACAGCAGCACTGCAATGGGAAGGAAAATTTGAAACAAACTCTATACCAACCCGTCTGGCCAGAGTAGTAGGTACAGTAGCCTGAAACCTCTTTTCTAAGGAGAGGGATATGTCCAGCAGTGAACAAGTAAAGGCTGTTGAAGATGATGTTTGATGAAGTAGGTTATGGAAGGATGTAGCTGGTATACCTTTCGCACCAATTTCCACGGCGTACAACGCAACGAAATAATCATTTTTATTGGTTATTTCGTTGGTTAAGTCAGAGTACTTATTTCTTTTTAAAGCGTGGTCTTTAGGGATGTTCGTTTCCCACGGTACCTTGAGTTCTACTAGTACTGTTAATTAAGCGTGTAATTGACATTGCATAAAGAAATATGTCTGATCTGGACCCCAAGGCACCGATATCCTCCGGTATTCTGTAATGATTTTCATACGTGTGTACTAATATTGTCCAGTATGTGACGGTATTCACAATTTAGTCCGGTTTTTGTGAAGTCTTTTTTGTTGAGCTTGCCTTTATACAC